TGGGTCACAATAAATGGTACTCATATTTAATGTACATTATTACTTCAGAGTTATGTTCATATGAGTCTTAATCTTTAGGCTGGAATTACAAGAATTGTTATCGGCATCAGGCATCCACGACAACGTATTCCGGGAAAATCTATTTACACATTGAGAAGCGAAGGAGTGTAGGTTGATGTTCTTAGGGGAATATTTAAAGTGTCTCCGTTGAGGTATATCATTATCATTAGTAAACTCTAAAGTGGTGAAGTATGGTTTTCGCATTGTTATAAATGGCAAACGTATGGTTGTTACAAGATTCATGTTACGAAATTGGTTCCTTTATTTTTCTTTTAAAATGTGGGGAAATTTAGTGCCGGATATGTGATTCAATAAGGTTAAGAAATCAGTAAATGATTCTTTATGAATACTAGAAGTTGTAAGCCAATATAATTTAAATCGAAATTAGAACATTGCTCTCTGTTGAACCGACTATAGTTGTAGACATCTGCCTAGGGTTTATTGCTTATGAGGATGAGGTTGTTTCTCGAGTTGCTACACTACTGCTTCACGAACACGAGCGCAGTCTTCAGTCAAGTAGTTCACGCTAACTCTTTAGGTGGCGGATGAGTAGGCCACCAGCATGAAAGTTCGAGAATGATAACATAATGGGTTTTGACATTTTTGTTTTGACTCGATAGATTTACATTTCCGTTGCCAATCAATCACTACTTCGTTTCCTGGTTTATTTTCTATTCGCAAGTGGGTCTAAAGTAGAAAATGAAAATTGAGTTGTAAATTCGATATTCCAAACTATAGCTTTTCATTGTGATTTTGGGCACATTTCAGTATATTGAGTTGTTGAAAATAAACCGATTTTTGTTGGATATATATAGAGGTTGATTTGGATTGTATTTCACAGTTTTTGCTTTCATGATGCATCTTGATTTCATGTCGATTTCGATCACGTTTATTGGATTTTGTTGGTTTTTGATATCTTGGTAGATTTGGGGACAGAGTTTTTGGAGATGGAGCTCGATGATAAGAAAAGGGGTTGGGGTGTGAATGTGTGTTAATGGTTGTACACATGCTTAGAGCATGTGCACAATCAAGATTTTATTTTAATATTTATTTTAATTAATGATTAATATGAAACGAGGGGTAAAATAGTCTTTTTTATCATTCTGACAATGTGTACATCACAATAATTTATCTTAAATAATATAGATAATTAATCAATAAGATAACTTAATAGAAAATCAACCGAAAATCAATTTATATACACACTAGAATCATTGTTTTGCACTACAAGCTTTATGTGTTCTTTGGACGCATTTCATGTGGCTTTTTTTTGTACATTTAGACGAATTTTACATCTGGTTGTATCATATGGGTAGACAACTAGTATACATATATAGGAGAACCTTGTTTTGAAAACCCATGAAATTGTGATAACCTTGAGAACATGTGTATCATGTGTTATTCGTATGATCTTTTTCATCCAAGACTAGGATTTAGAATAATAATTAACATATATTTGTTTCACAATGTGTTTGTTTCATATGTACTCGATTCATAATGTGAATATGTTTAACGTTTTTGTGAAACAAAAATAGATGTAAAAAAGTTTAACATTGTGAACCGAATACATACAAAACAAACACATTGTGAAACAAAAATATATTAAATGTTACACTTGGACGAAAAAAAATATATGTGAAAATCAAAACCTTAAGATATAAGTTCTCATGGATCTCACAAATTTTAGAATTCTCAAATGTTTAACATTCAGGTTCAGGGGAAAACCGTAAAAAAAATGAAAAACTGAACAACACTCGGGTAAGAGTTCATCTAGAAGGTACGCATAATTTCGAGCATTATACATGTATGTAAATTGAAACATCATGCATACGTACACACATCACCATACAAATCATATAATGCTCGAAAATGAATTTTTATGTAGATATGCATGTCTTTGTAAGTCTCATGAAGACTTACCTGATTGTGTGTCGATCGGCTACTGATAAATCTTGATTGAAAACCTACATATTTCATACCACCATGTCCAATTAGTGGCTTAATTTCTCTAAAAGTCAACAAAAGTTATTGAAAGTCAATTATGATCAATTTCGACCTGACCTAAAGTCAAACTCCAAAATCGGGTCTCTTAATATCTCAAATATCTCAATTGGATCTCATCATTAAAATCCTTGAGAGACAAACGAGGTAAAATTCAACCATCGGTCAACCTTGACCGACTTTAGTCAAAACCCCAAGTCTAAAAAGCGACTGACGCCTTAAAACGTCAAACTAATCATTTTATAAACTTATAAATCCATCTTTCCAAACTAAAGCGTCTAAATAAATATTTAACTCAAAATACGACGCTCAAAATCCATCATTTAAATTTAATTAAATAATTGTATAAACACTTCCTTAAGATATAATTACTAATTAATTGATAGTAATATTGTAAAATAAATCAGTATATCAATTTAAATCAATATATTAATTAATTTAGAAACACAATTAATTAATCACCAAATAATTATACCTTAATGCAATATCAAATTAATTAATCAACTTAGAGTCTTAGACCCAAAATGGGACTAAGCGCAACCAATTATTAATCTTCCTTTTTTTCTTTTATAGAAGCCCAAACAGAACCCAATTCAAGATACAGCCCAACAAGAATTACCGACCCAAAAACGTTCTTGGCCCATTCCAGCCCGCCTTCTACGGCGTCTCAAACTCTCAACAGTGGCCAGACGAAAACATGCCCTTTGGCCTTGTTTCAACGGTTATTTTTGCTAAAACTCAAGAATGATTTTCCTTGATCATAGGAATAGGAATCAACGAAAACCATCAAGTATTGAGTCACATTTGCTCATTTAAAGATTGGGTTTTAAAAACCACTTAAAAATCAGTAGAAAAACTCAAAGAAGGGACCTTCAAAACTAAAATCTGAGACATAAGACTATTAATGTTCGATAGAGGACTGAAAAGCAAAGCTAAGCATATAAATAACTTGAAATTTGGTTGAGTATTTTATCTCTAATCATCGATAAACGGAGCTTTTTGACCCCTGACCCCGAACTTCGACCTCCAATTTCTCTCTTAAAAGTCGACCAACTCTCAGTCTTCTTAAATGAAAAATGTAGAGGAGTTTCTTAGCTACTTAACCTGTAAATTTTTGGCTTTTTTGTTAACTAAATGAGCCAATAGAACGCTTCAAAGATCGACCGTCGTTTTCAAATCTGAAAATTTGCATATATGATATATTTACAAACAGGTTCCTCTGGTTTGGACTTGTTGACGTCTAAGAATGCCCCTAAACTTTTAGAAATGACATTCAGATCCTAACCTCAATGTTTTGATCAATTTTATACTTTTCACCCTCAATCTAACATTTTCTTTTATTTTTAGCCTGAATGCATATAAACTCCTTTATTAACTTAATTAAATGGCATAATTGACTCTATTTCACGTTATTCTTCACATTTTTGGTCCATTAAAATAAAAACCAAATTTATTTTATTTTCCTTCTCTTTTTTCATTTATTTTTATATTTATTTATTTATCCTGTTATGGGTAGCATGTCTAGAATTTAAGAAGAGCCTAGAATAACTTCAATTAATTTTCAATTTGATAAAAATACCCTTATTTCATCATTTGCATGATTTAACACCTATATACGTATGTGTATGTGTGTGTGTGTTCAAGACTAACTATCACCATATTCAAGCCCTATAGGTCCACATTTCCGACGGCTACCAAAGAGGTCCACACTACAAAACAAGTCCACATTCTACACACTACCAAACAGGTCCACATTTCCAGCGGCTCTATCCGACGGAAATATGTCGAAAAAAAGCATTTCTGGCAGATAGAGTCGTCGGAAAATGGGGCGCCGGTGATTAATTTTCCGGCGTATTTTTTTTTCAGCGGAATACAACCACCGGAAATTTTCTCACGATTTATTTAAAAAAAATCTTGATTAAATTAAAAAAATATTTAAGTTTAAAAAAATGAATTAAATTAACGGCAAATATTTCAGCCGGAAATCCGCCGGAAAATTGTTTTTATTTTAAAAATATCTATTTTTATCCATTAAAGATCAATACGATCCATTAAAACTCAATAAAACCGTTAAAGCCCAACTAACATCCACTAAATCCAATAGAACCGTTAAAACTCAACTAACATCCACTAAAGTCCAATAGAACCGTTAAAGCCCAGTACGATCAATTATGAATATATGTAATATTTTACATATATATAAAACCAAAAGTTTGAAAAATGAAAAAAAAAATCAAAAATCCGCCGGAATCCGCCGGAAAATGTCCGTCAGTGAACAAACGGAAAGTATTAAGTTTTTTTTTTTAACTCTTGAATAATTTATTATTTTAAATTACCGGCAACCACCGGTATATCCACCGGAAATCCGTCGGAAATTTATAATAATAATTTTTAATTATTCTTAGGTGGATTTCCGGCGGCGGTTAACCTTAAAAAATAATAAAAAATCCGCCGGAAATCCACCGGTAAATTATTGTAATTAAAGGTAATAATTTTGTAAAAAAATAATTTGTAAAGTTCATTGAAAATCCGCCGGAAATATTGTCGGAATAATTTTACCGGTGGAAGTCAACGAAAATTGACTTTTTTGTTGTCTGCCGATAATTTTTCGAATACCTGCCAGAAATACACAGTTTTCTAGTAGTGACACTCCTACATCCAATCACCAGGATGATGCTCTAGCGATCCAAGCGGCCTCCACCCACCCTCATTTTACCATCTTTATCGGACTCCCTCAACCCCTTCCCCCTTTACCAACCCTTATTGATGCCAATCTATGCCACCACCGCATCGATTGGTTACTTCCACTACTCATGTCTCCCCCTTACTCCCATGTTTCCTCGCTACACATATCGACCACCACTACCATTGCGCACATCCTCTTCTTTCTTCTCATTGATATCAACACCATCACTACCGCGTGCCTGTAATACTTTCTTCTATTCGCTCTCAACACCACCACCATCACCACCCTGCATATTGTGCCCCCGTTGTCCCCTCTCCACCCCACTCGGCCCGGTGGAAACCCCATTGTTTTCTATATAAGTGTAAATGTTGAAGGTAATACAGATTCTAATTAAGGTTTTTATATATAAATTCAAAACCCTATGGGACAACCTTGTTTTTGATGGCTTTCAGTTTAAAATTTGAGTTTTGGTGATCACGGTTTGATTTGGGTTCGCTAAATTTGGTTTTGAGGTTTTGATTTGAGTTTGATTTTGATTTTATGGTTTGGACATAGATTTGGGTTTGATTTTGAGTTGTTGTTGGTGTGTAATGGTGTAAGGTGCTGGAAAAAGGGCACCGATAAAGATCAATAGGTGCAAGTAGTTCTAGCTTTCAACGTTTAATTAGACAAACTGGAAGAAGACATAAAAAATGAATAATGATAAAATACCTTTCACTTAAAAATCAACAGATGCTTGTTAATGGCCTTTTAGTGGCAGGGACCAAAATGTTACGAAAATGCAAAACCTGGAGGCTATATTGAAATAGAAAACTCTGAAGACCAAACTGAAGAAAAATTTAAAACCACAAGGACCAAATCTGTAATTTACTCTAAAAATATAAATATATGGTTCCAAGGGAGCGAATTATTAAATAATCAAGTATATAGTATGTTCAACTTGCACAAAAACTAAGTCATATATATATATATATATATATATATAAAAATAAATAAATAAATAAATAAAGGTTCAAAAACAAAAACAAAAACAAAAAAAGAACGAGAACGAGAGAATCTTAACCCCATCAATCATTTGATCTGATCCAAAGATAACTGTAAACATGGAGCTGGTTATAAACAAAATGTAACCATTCTAATTATTCGCAACCATTGTATTAAAATGGATTGATGATTGATCGTGGGTGCCCCAACTCTCAAGTTAATAGGGTTTTTTTGAACGATTTCTATATGTGGTTTGTTTTAATTATATTATGTAATGTTATGAATGAGTATTTAATCTTTAAGATGTATTTTGGTCATTTTCAATACAACAAAATTGGGTTTATGGAATACCTTCAATCTCTAAGCGTCCCAATATATCAACAGCTTTATAGGACTTAATTTATAGAATCAAAATATAAAACGTTCTATCTAAATGTGTTGTAATAAGTTTATATGACGTTTTTGGACGTCTTAACAAGTTTTTTAGAACATTTTTAATACAAAGTGTTGCATTAGCAACTTTATAGGACATTTTTGAGAAAGTGTCCTATAAACTCAATTTTTTATAAGACATTTGTTTGTATAGGACAGTTTTTTAAATAATGTCTTATAAAGTTGTTAATGAGACGCTTTATATTAAAAGTATCCTAAAAAACTTATTACGACGTCAAAAAACGTCCTATATTAGGAACCAACTTTCACCTAATTCATAGTTTGGGAAACCAACTTTCAAAATCGTCATTTTGGGGAACCAACTTGTACCTGATTCCTATTTTGGGGAACCAACTTTCAAAATCGTTATTTTGAGGAACCAACTTGCAAAATAATTATAGAAAAATAACTAAAATTCGTTTTTTTCCAAAAAACAATGCAATAAAATCTATTTTTCATTTCAAATCTCGTTTTTTTAGTTCAGATATCAAATTGAACATTTTTAAAAAAAATTCAAATTACCACGATAAAAATTGTTTTTTACTAATACAAACAAAATCAATTTAATAGAAAAAAATTAATTGATGCAATTGATTAGATATAAAAATCTTGAATGTGATATTTAATATTTATTTTTTATTGCATCAATTAATTTTTTTCTATTCAATTGATTATTTTTGTATTAATAAAAAACAATTTTTATTGTGGTAATTTGGATTTTTTTTAATGTTCAATTTGATATCTGAATTAAAAAAACGAGATTTGAAATGAAAAATAAATTTTATTGCATTATTTTTTGGAAAAAAACGAATTTTAGTTATTTTTCTATAATTATTTTGCAAGTTGGTTCCCCAAAATAAGAATCAGGTACAAGTTGGTTCCCCAAAATAGAAATTAAGTGAAAATTGGTTCAATTTTATTGCAATTTTCCCAAACTTATTACAACGTCTTTAGATATGATGCTTTATTTTTTTTGTTCCTATAAACTAAGTCTTATAAAGAGGTTTATTAGGACGCTTAGAAATTGAAAGTGTCATATAAACCCGATTTTGTTGTACTATTTACAAATATTAACCAACTAGTTTTTGTAAAATTACTTGATGATTTTTATTAATTAGTCAGTTTCTTGGGTCATGTAGGTTATTAAACATAATTTAAGATTGTTTTTTTTATTATAACTCATTTTCCGTTTTAATCTGAATCTGAAGATGAAGATGAAGATGATGGATTAGGTTAGATTTTTCATGTTTTGTTTAATAAAAAGCATTCTTTTAACACATGCAAGAGAATAGATTAGACTCTTACATTGGGTCTTCGATTACAATTTTATATTATCAAGATTTGTGGTGCTGTAGCTACAACCACATGCAAACTAATGCTCTTTTATTAATATAAAGAGAGAGAGAGAGAGAGAAAAGGGGCTAGTCACTTTATATATATATATATATATATATATATATATATATATATTTATATTATATTATAAAATATTTAATAAAAATTCTTTTTTGTTCGTAAAATATTGTTTATTGATGTATTTTATTAAAAATTTAAGATTACAAGTAAATTGTGTGTAAATACAACTTATTAAAGTTTCATGTAATTAATTGTAGAAAAACATAACCAAATAAAGGACAAACATCTCATTTTAAATATAAAAAATCTAAAATATAATTAGGATAATAATTAAGGTCTAACAAAATACTTAATTATTATATTTATAAAAAATTATATTATTAAACTAAAAATAAAATAATG